ATTCTTGGTTCTCTAGTGCTTATAGGGTGTTGTACAATTGGAGAAGGAACGTGATTTGTTGTAGATGTTGAAGCAGCTCCGATCATCTCTATATCCCCACTTTCTGCTATTCTTGTTCTTTCCTGTGTTGGTGAATTGAGTTGATGTATCGCAAGCATTAACTCCCTCATTTGCTCTTGCATTTGTGCCATTGCACTCTTCATTTCAACAAGCTCTGCCATAATGACACTAAGAAGAAAAATTTGTTTGATACTGTTCAAGACAAAAGAAAAGAAAGACTTGATAACAAAGAAGATACTAAGAACAATATCAGTTTAGAAGTGGGTAATCCGCAAACTTCTAATACGCTTATGCCTTGTCAAGAGAAAGGGGTAATCCACTCTTACTCAAGAAAAACAAAGCTCTGATATTGTAAGTACGTTCTTATCAATCTGTCAAGGACAAGAACTTGATGAAAAAACAGTTCAAGCAAGTAAGCCTTCACTCAAAGAAAAGTAACAAAATATGAATAATAAGTATGTATATTGAAAAGAGAAACTAGAATGGCTATTGCCAAAAGACAAGAAAACTAGAGATCCTTGAAACTAGACTAGAAGCAAGAAAAAAGTTGACAAGAATAAAGAAGCCTTCACTCTTGTCTCTATATATACTATCTAACTAGGGGCTACAAGGCGACGTTCTATAGGACCTCTAATATGTGTTGACTTTGTAGGACACATGCCTTGACTTACAAGGCAAGTTTTTCTATGTGTGGGCCACATAGTTAGCTTGATCTTCAAGCTAACAACATGTGTGGCACATGGCCAACTTGTTGACCACGTTTCTAATCCAAAAAGTCAATTAAAGACACCTATGAAGTCAAAGCAGCGTCTAGGAAGTTTCTAAGAAGCTTCTATATTAAATATTATAGAATTAACTTACTTTTATCTACTTTTACTTACTTCTACCTATTTCTATATGTAATTATTAGCTTATATGATTATGATCGTGATATTACGATAGTCAACCAGAAGGCATATTTGCAGGACAATTTCACAATGAAGACACGAAAGTTCATGCTTGGTCAGAAGTTGAAGGAGTGGGCCACTACTGTTGGCTTCAAGGGCCGATGAACCACTTACCTCGTGAACAACAGTTGGAGTTCATAGCAGACGTTATGCGACAGATCTTCATTTTCTTGCGTTGGTATTGATTGACAACAACATTGCTACTCAAAGACCTCGAAGCTAAAGGAGGGGATGATGTTAGGGACATAGTCCTTAGAACCTTCTAGAGACAAGTTTCTAGAACCTTCTAGAGACAAGCTTCTAGATCTTCTAGAGACAAGCTTCTAGAACCTTCTAGAGACAAGCTTCTAGAACCTTCTAGAAGCAAGTCTCTGGAATCTTCTAGAAGCTTCTTAGTTGATAGAAGATGTTAGGGACATAGTCCTTAGAACCTTCTAGAGATAAGTTTCTAGAACCTTCTAGAGGCAAGTCTCTGGAACCTTCTAAAAGCTTCCTAGTTGGTAGAAGTTGCTTGAGAAGCTTCTTAAATAGGAGTATATATTGGGATCGAGGCTGAAGAGTTCTTCAGTCTCGATAACACATCTCTTGGAGCTCTAGCTCACCTCTCTGGTGTTGTTCTTGTATTCATTTGATTAATCTAGTTCTTGCCAGTTCTTCTTGAACTTCTTGGTAGATATCAAGTCTGTATTCTGTGTCCGTGACACTTGGTGACAATTCAAAATACATGTTGTCATGAAATACTTGAGGTTCTTGTGATCCATATATATGGTGACTGGATTAGAAGTGTCTTCTAAATAATAAAACCATTCTTAAAACTAATCCATAATTACAAGGAGCTCTTTGTCATGGATCTCATAGTTAATCTTGAATGCTAAAAATTTCTTAAAATAAAAAGCTACAGGATAGAACTTATCATCTTCTCTCATTTGTAACAAAATTATACTTAAAGCAAAGTTTGATGTGTCTATTTTTATAAAGAATACCTTCAAAAAGTCGACATAATATAAGATTGGTGTAAAAATAAATGTCTTTTATTATGGCTTTAAAAGATGCTTTAACTTCTTTGTTTCACTCAAGTTTGTCTTTACATGACAGGGATGTAAGTGAAGCTACAACTTAAGAAAAGTTCTTAACAAAGATTGAATAATAATTAGTGAATCTCAAAAAATATTACACATCTTTAATTATTTTTGAGATCTTCTAATCTATCATAATTTGGAGCTTCTTAAGATCCATCATAAGACCATTGTTTGAAATGATGTATTTTAGAAAGTCAACTTGAGTAATATGAAATATACACTTTTTTATCTTGACATATAATCTTGCATCTCTTAATTTTTGTAAATTATGACAAACATCAAGTTCATATTCTTTTATGCTCTTAGAATAGATCAAGATGTCATATAAGTAACAAATAACAAAATCATCAAGACACTTAAAAAAATCATCATCTATTAATGTTAAAAAGTAGATAGTGTATTTGTGAGTCTAAAAGACATGACATTATATTCAAAATATCTATACTTTTTTTAAAATATAATTTTCCATTCATCTCTTTTTTTAATACGTATTAGATTGTATGTTTATTGCACACATATTTTTGTATAGATCTTTGCTTGATTCAATTGATCAAGAATTCTTAAAATCAAAGATAGAGGGTAGCTATTCTTGATGGTGATCTTATTAAACCTTTGATAGTCCATACATGTTTATAGAGATTCATCTTTTTTCTTCACAAATAGAATAAGAGCTCCAACTAGAAATGTAGAATGACATATGAAGTTCTTAGCTAAATTTTCATTAATATATTCCTTAAATGTAGCCAATTTGTTTAGTGATAGGCTGTAGATTGGTCCAAATAGTGGTTGAACTCCTTCTTAAAGATCATAGGAAAAATTATAAAAATGATGCTCTAAAAAATGTTTGTATTTTTTTTTTCAAAGATATCTTGATAATCTTAGTATTGACTCACAATGCCACTTAAAATCTATTTTCCATCAACAATAAGTGTGGCGTATATAATAAAAGTTTATCCTTCCTTTACAACATGCATAAAAGTTCTTTCACCTATTAATAATAGTTTGGATGTATTGATCTTATGGATTTTTACTTGCCTAGAAAAATCTTGAGTTAAAATATAAAAAAATCAAGATTGCAAGAAATTCAATCTATTTGAGGATTATACCTTTCTAACCACAATAATCCTAAAATAATTGAATTAAGATAAGATCTAATTATATTAAATTTACTAAACTATTATAACTACTACTTGCTACTTCTATAAAAAATGGTTTTATGTGTAACATCCTCAAAAGATAATAAATAGCAATCTATTACTTCTACATGTATAAGTTTGAATTTCTTAATTAAGGATATATTATATTTTTTGACAAAGTCTTTGTCTATAAAATAAGTTGAGGCTCTTAAATATAATAAGACTAAGATTTTGTAATTTTTTGGCTCTAAATAAACTTTAAATCCTAGACAAACCTTAAATCCTAAACCAAATCCTAAAAAAATCCTAAATCCTAAACCAAATTCTAAAAATATCTTAAATCCTAAACCAAATCCTAAAAAAATCTTAAATCAAATCCTAATCAAAATCTAACCAATTCAAACCAATCCTAAGGTAGATTAGAACTCCAATATCTATTCATTAAATTATGGAACTTGCTTAAAAATTTATACAGCTCTCAACTTCTTAATTAAAAATAATTATAACAAACTTGAAGATAATTTTATTTACCAAATGGAAGCAAAATCCTAAAATCTGCTTGGATATTGGTCTGCCTCCTATTCCAATCTAAATATTGAACTTCTAGTGCGCATATCTCTCAAATATAATATTGATTTTTTTCCAAAATTCACTCAAATTTTTGGAAATTAAGTCTAGTCTCAATACAAAATGATTTCACTTTAATCCAATTAATGAATCACTAAAGAACTTAAAAATACTCACTGACCCTCAAACTCCAATTTTTGAGACTTCAATCTACAAAAACTTTCATACTTTGACCTAACTATTTGATTGACTTTAAATTCACAATGCACATTAAGCACAATTATATCCACCAATCCACAAAATTACATTTGTAGATCTACTACAAAACTCCTGAAATTGCTCAAAATATCAATCCTATTTTTTTCACAAAAATCCAAGTTATTCAAAACAACCTTGATTTTATAAAGCTCTTACAAAGTCATTATAAGTCCAAACCATCCAAAACTAATGCTTATAAAAATCCTATCAAGTTTGCTTCTAAATTTTTTTTCTTTAAACTACTAAAGAACCTCGGAGTTACCATAGGTGCACAATTTTGTGCCTTAGGATCTGATTTTGACCAAGATTCATAACTAGTCCTCTCCAGATATAAATTCTTGGCTTCTTGAGGTAAATTTTTTTAAAATCTACTCTTAACTCTTTTCTACATATGCCTATATCATTTTATTTCCAAATCTACTTTGTTTTATCTTATTTATGCTCTTACAAAGTAAATAAAAGCCTATTTCATAAAAAAGTAGTAATAGTATATTTTTAGTTTTATTTCAACTATTATCTTTATTTTAAGATAATTTCCTATAAAATTTTAAAATAAGATCTTTTATAATATAATATTTTCTTCTCTTTCATTTATTAGTCGTGTTACATCACAATAATGCAATCGCAACAACAATATCAATAATGAAGACATTCCAAAAGTATTGCCCCACGATTTGTATATATATGGACATCTCTATTGTGTATTTTCATTTGTCAACATAAGGTGCAATGGCAATTGATTAAGTGGGACATTCAATCTATTGAGAATATTGAAAATGACCATAGAGCCATGGTATATGCTTATTGCAAGGAAAGAACCTTCAAGGACATTGTTGACATGTACTTTGATTTGCGAATAAAGTTTCATGTTGGATGGATTCATTACAATGGCCAATTTCCACAACTTCAAAATTTTTGTGGTGGACTAGCTTCCATTTTTTCTAACACAAGCATTATCAAATCCAACTTCTTTGTGATCAAGTGGAAGAAGGACAAATATTGATAGTACCTCACAAACTTCTCGCTTGAAAGTATCTTGCACTCTAAACAATTTGACAAGGATGGATATTTTTTAACAGCTCTACAGATGAATTTCATCCATTCCTATTTCACCTATAATAAAACCTGGCTGCAACCCAAAAATAAGCTAAATTAGGTGTTTTAAGAAAAGCCGTAGTTTGAAGAGACCTGTCCATTAGGCTTGAAATAGCTGCACAAAGCCTCCTTCGGTTGTGAACACGGCTGCAAACTACAGACGAAAGACTGGCACAAGTCTACAGCTTGGAACCGCTTGATTCAATCTACATCGTAGAATTCAATTGCTTTGTGATGGTGAGGCACAATCTCAGCTTCGACCTTTTGAGGCTGTGTCACAGGCAGACCACACTCGAATGACAACAGAAGTACCTGTAAAACCGCAGAAAGCATTAAAATGTGTCACTCCTTCCAAAAGCAATGTACCCAAATTCATAATACCAAGGAAAGGCTGTCCCAACGTCTATACATTGCAACAAAAAAATTAGGATTTTGCTAGGCATTATGCTAAATGACAGTTGAATTTCTCTTGCAATGCTGAAGATTTCTACAACTCTCCAAGCAGTATAGACGGCTTCAATAGCAGAGTCATCTCAGCATCATGCGAAAAATTCCAAGACGCATATACACATCTACAAAGGCTCATCCGAATAAGATCTAAAACACAGAGCAAGCGCTAAAAAGTATAAGAGCAAGGGAGAGAGGATAAGCATCTACTTGCAATGAGGGTAACCGTCACTTATCCATGTCGAATAGAAGAAAATTAAAGGACCTTCACATTCTAATTGTTCACTCACTTTCTTAGGATCGGGTTGCAAGGACGTGTAGAAGTAATTGAAAAAACACCACCAAAAGAATGTTCGCAGGAAGACAAAAGCTTGCAATAGCCCCGGAGAGAATAGACGCCCTTTACACAACAAAGTATTGGAGATTAAACCATATTGTATGAAGGATCTTTCAATCAAGAGCAATGCTCTAAGCTGGGATAAATAAAAAGAACATCCAGACTACTCTCTACCAGACCGTTACAATTGATTTACCACTCATTGATCCTTCTACAGCGTATTCGGGTTTCTAGAATTATCAGTCCCTTAAAGTGTTAAAGGGGAATATTATAGCTGCCAAACTACGCACTATTGCCATAGAACGACAATGTTGCCTGCCAGGGTAATTACCCTTGTTGATAGCTTGGACTAAATGCTGACCAATCAAGTAAAGTGAGCGAGTGAAAATTTTGCTAAAGATGAGCAGCGAAGCACAGTTGTCAAACTTCAAATCTAGAATTCTGTTCCGATGAACATAGTCAGCACCGCCACTAGTCTAAGAGCTGCCACTGCTGAAATTACCCACTCGACGGAGAAACCCGTCAAATATGGCCGGATGTACGTTACTTGTCCCACTGCCTGAATAGCATCATGATAGTACACTCAGAAAGATATTCTATATTTTACAAAGCTCTGATTTAATTTGAGAAATGTGTCGTTGTCTGAAAACAGAAGGTAAAGCCAGAAATTAACTTGAACGAGACGCACCTGAGAGAAACACCAAACTCCGCTGAAGGCAAGTTAGTCCACCGAATCACCTTTACGAGCACAGCCTCTCCGTCTTTTTACTAAAGACCCTGTAATTTGGGAAACACGGTCCCCAGCAACTGCACCATAATCTAGGCATTGATAAAGGGCACGATGCCTAAGGATGCCAGACAAAGTCAACCAACACTTCCGCTCAAATATGTATTTGAGGGTCCGATAAGGCTATTGACGTCTACGCTCCCTTGAAAGTGTGAGCTGCTTGTTTCCCACAGAGGAACATAGGTCCGAATTCTTGATAAGATCAACCATTCAAGTAACATTGAACGCCTCTCCACGAATTTGACATTGAAAAAAAATCGCCGAAGTCCACACTCTTCTTCTCCACAACTGCTGCAAATACCAAAAGACGGGTCTGTCAATCCATGGACCGTCTTCGGTAATTTTGACAATAGAGGCTCTGATACATAAGTCAAATGTTACGGTAATAAAAAAAGGAAACAATCGCAGTAACAACTGTGCAGGCGGTTGCCATTATACTAAGCCTTAAACAATGACATCATCAGCTCCAAAATTTGAAACAGATAGAGTATGAGCAATGCAAAAATATGTACAAAGATGGCAATAAGATATATAATAAACGCCTAAACTCTATCAAAATATGCGAAGCGATGGAAAATTTCTTGACAAATAGACTCTTCTGCAGGAAGGAAACATTGAAAAAACTGAAACCTCCGATATTTCTCGATTTGAGACTTGAATCCACTGCAAGTATGTGCTGAGGTTATAATATTACCATTCAAATCTCATTCAACGGTCTGTAGATTACACAGGCCAAAAAGAAAAAAGACAAATGAAAATAATCATAGGCATTTCAGAATAGACCTGCTGCGCTTTTGGACGAACTCCCGGAGCCTGACTTTGACATGATCAAAAGTAGATTGAATGGCATTCCAAGAAAAACGCCGTGCATCATCCTCTACACCCGAAGGATCAAACCTCTAGTCTCCTTCCAAAATCTGTTCCCCGACGACTGCAAGAGCAGCCCTACAGATTGATGCGTTTTATCCATCCACGGTCCCAGCTGAATTCATTTCCCGTATTCGAAATCTGGAACCGAGCACCACAAAACGAGCTACGTGCCTTGAAGCTACATCAAACAACTCTACGAGAGCAGGCCATATTCCCTTCTCGGCGCTAGCTCTTAACTGTTCCAATTAACAAAGAATTTCTTCCGACCACAGACGGAAAATATATATATATATATATATATATATAACTTATAAAAAATCTATGCCCATCTCGTAGAAGCTAAAGGTTATAGCGTCGGTGACGCACGGAGAACAAAGCAAATTCGGAACGAGTGTTCCGCCGCGTGCACAGTCCCCGATGGAGATTCTTACGTACGGGAAGGAAGCTCTTGTGAGGATGAGCTCAGACTCCGTTGGAGTCTGAGAACCGTGGCGGAGATTCATCCAACCGGTACATTTACCAGGTCTCACAATGGTATCAGAGAGACCCCAGTCGGATATCAAAGAACCCCCATCACTTGCACTGATTTAGAGCGGGTACGTGAAGGGGTATAACGTCAGAATAATTAAACCGTGAACTTAAGGTTTTTTTTAGCTATGTTGGGGGCATTTTTTTTTTTTTTTTTTTTTTTTTTCGGAAATCTCTTTTCTGTGTGGAGAAATAAAGGTTCTGATGTGCTCCAAAAGAAAAAAAATTGAATTGTCACATTGGTTTAATTGATAAAAATTATCAATGCACTTTTTGCATTTGATCCCTAACCAAGGCATAGACTTGGGCAATACCATCCAAAAAAATAGGTTAAACCACCACAAAAATAGGCAAAACCACCAATTTTATTGTTGTAAAATTTGCCAATCATTGGTGGACTTGGAATCAACTTAAAAGCTTCCTATATTCTTCAATGTGATTTTGGGTTTGTGCAAGAGTGGTTTCTTACAAGGTCTACAAGTTGGTTTAAGAGCATGAGACAATTTAAAGTATTTCAATGTTAGATATTTTATGTCTAAGCATACTTGTACAAGACTACTTTTTTCTGAGAAAAGCTTACTCCAAGTAGGTAGTAATATTGCTTAGACTACACACACATCCGAAAGTTGCTACATATACATCCCAAATTGCTATATGCACACCCTAAAAAATAGATGACTTCGATTGGCTGATTTGCAAATTAGATTGGCAATTGACAAGGAAGAAGAGGATGTCTAGGTGTGCATAATTTATATTTGTCTTTTCAAGAATGTGAAAATTTACTACAAATAAGTGTATGTGAACATGTTTAATCAAGTTTTTTGTTATGAAAAGATATCAATATTTGAAGTAACTTCACTACAGTTATTATTATCTCAACATGTGCAATAAAATAATAAATAAATCTTACAATCCATGAAGTTATATATGTTAGAATTTTTTTAATTCTTAATCAATTCCTTTCATAACTCTTAAAATGCTTCAAATACTAATTTATGAAGTAATATTGTGATAGTTGGTATTTTGAAGCAAATAAACTCTTTCAATCCCATCAAATTGTTTTGATTTAATTTATTATTTAGACAATATATTCAATGCATTTTTGTAAACCATATGAAATATAGTCACTGTGTTGTTAAATTATATATATATATATATATATATATATGAATTCTTCTCTAAATTTTTATTTTTAGTACAATTAATTCTATTACACATGTGAGATCGTATGTGTGTGTATATATTAATCAACATAATATTTTAAAAGGGTCAAATAAAAATTCAATTTACAAATTGACTTATCTAGAATGTTACAAAAACATTAACTTTAAAAACTTTAAGTATATATATATATATATATGTGTGTGTGTGTGTGTGTGCTTAATATATTTCTTTTTATCATTGTGTTGGGTTTTCAAAGACAAACTTAAAATGATTTATATATAATGATTGGTTCAATCAAATAGTTTGTACTATTGCAAATTATATGATATTAATGGCACATTAATCTGTAATAACATTTTTTGAGGATAATAGTTTTTATTTTGTTTTGTTTTATTCTTTTACTGTTATCATAAAAAGTTCAACATTAGTTTCAATTTTTGCTGTAACCAAACATGTATGCAAAATGTTACACTTTAAATATACAACATCTCATCAAACCAAATACTGTATAATCACATATAGTTGTATAATGTAATTGAATCAATATCTAAAACAAATTATAAAATCCTCCATTTGTGGTTAAACCACAGAAGCAACTTAATAAAATATCATGGATGATGGTGTATTTAATATTTGGAGTAGAGAAAATGTAAATAGTTATCATTCATTTAAATTGAGTGACTTGTGCAACACTCAATCGAATTACAAACGAGGAACCTTTCAATTCAATCTACAAGACCCTAAAACACGAAATTGTTCCAAAATTAAAGATCAGCCACAGATTGAAGATTTATTCTAATGGCAAACACAAAACGTTCCAGAATTAAAATTCCAACACAAATTGAGTGGTCATGCTCATAACAATCACACAAACAAGGTTGTGTGTTCGAAGTAGTCTACCCACACGAGCAAGCAATAAACCACCTATTTACATTACTATAGAAAATAAATAAATAAATAAATAAAATTATTAATATGATAATAATTTTGATCCAGGAAACTCTATTATAAAAAAAAGAAGTAGAACAAAAATTTATTCATAAATTTTTATTGTGTTGGTGTTCTCCGGGTGTGATGGAAGAGCCGTAGCAGCAAGTTCCAGCTGGAGCTTTGGTGGAAAGGGACGAGCGTTCTCCACGTCATCCGACACGTAGAAAAGATGGGTGATTCAGCTTGCTGACACATTTTCCGCAAGGAGTGCATCCGACGTGGCGTAGCGCTGGTGCCGGTGATCAAACTCATTGTTGCGAGGTCCGATGGCGGTGAACGTGGAGGACGCATCCAGAGGGTGTGATTAGTGGGTGGTCTCGCTTCGTCTACAAATCTCGCAAGTGTTGAGCCAGTCTTTGCTCTGGCCATGCCCCAGTGGCGTAAGTTATTGCCTTTTTTGTTTATCGCAGACCCAGTGTAAGTTCCCTCACGCAAGCTGCTTGCAGCACTGTCGTGTGCCTGCCTTGCACGGTTCCAGCAACACCAAATCAACATAACACAGTTCTCTGAACACAGCCTGCAGCACTTGGCCTGCTGCATGTGCGTCTCAATCATTGCTCTTTGCTTCCTCCACGTCGTAGAGCTGTGGAAAAGAAGGACTGTCATGTTACCTTTCCACCATACAATCAATCTCCCATGATTGGATCTTCGGTGTTTTGAACTGTTCGAGAGAAGTTCCCAGGCTGGTAGAGCTCGGCACATGGTTGGAATTGAGCGCATGGTGAATTCTTCTTCTCAGCGTGCTGTCGTCGATCGATGTTGTCTTTGGCTACGTTTAGTGTCGCTGTCACAGAATCGAGCGACCTGCGCTTTTCACACAAGCAGCTTTGCAATATTCTGTAGAGTGTGCAGGGAGGAGCAATGAACAAGAGAATATGTCTAGGCCATGCGTACTTTCTCGGCAATAGTTTGGGGAAGATGGTGCGTGCATGTAAATCGAGTGAGTGGAAAGAGTTTGACAGCAGATCAGACGAAGGACTTAACTAGAAAGCTACGAGAGATAGTGTTTGATTTCATGGGTGCTGAAGTGTTGTAGTGTATATTAGACATCTTGGAACTCACTACGAGTTGTGGCGCTCGTCATGTCGAAGGAGCGCCACCATTCGGGTGTTTGTGCAAGTAACTCACGCCCGAGGCGAGATCCTCATCGGAACCTTGTTCCACCAGAAGAGATATACATAATCCCAGGTAATAGATTCTTCCTTCTGCCTCTGAAGAAAGTGTCTACGCTTGTGGATCATCGTTGCCGTGGATCCTCTGCGACTTCCACAAAAGCATGCATTCTACAAGGACCCTCTGTACCGTCGAGGACTACAATATTTCAAATTGGACAACCAACAAACAGGTGCGTGACTCGAGATATAATTCAGGAAGTGAACGACCGTAACAACTTCCGTTTCGCTGCGCACTCTTCGAGTAGGAGCACGAGGAGGTTTCGCAAGAAGCAGAGAGCTGCTCAACATGCTGCCATGGTTAGGACCCGCCTTTCACCCGTTTCAGAGCAATTTGAGCAATTTGAGCCAGAAGAGAACCCCTTTGGAAATAGGTCCGTACTTGATCATGTCGAGGATCGGAATTTTTACGCAAGGCCAATGAACAGTCGGGAGAAATTGGCAGAACTGGTAAACGCAGATGATCAATGCATAAATTCTCGTAGACAGCTAGATTGTAGAGTAGCCGAGAACGAGCAAAGAATTGAGTATCTTGGTCGTCGGGCGGAGATGAGGCCAAGGAGAGTGCGTGGAGATGGCATTTGGAGCGGAGGCGGAGTTTACCAACGAGGGGTCCGACGCTGGGTTGATGATCGCAATGTTTTAACAAGCACAAGGCTAGACTATGATTTCTGCGGATCATCTTCTTATGTCGGCAAATCCAGACCAGTACGAGAGATTCCACTCGATAGCTGGGGTGATGAATCAATGCAGCCGGAATCAGGTTTACCAGAAAGGCAAAATGCATTGCCAGATGTGCTTGAAAGAGCTCGTGATGTTCCCAACCCTGTATCAGCGATTGATTGTTCGTCACCAGTTCCGTTTGGGCCCCAACAATCCGGTCACTTATCTAGTGGGCCAATACAGACGAGTTTTTGTATGAACCGTATCAGGTGTGGCAGTTGCAGGAGTTATGCGGAAGGATTTGAAACGAATTTCAATCCCCGGAGCACCACAAACAATGAGACATGTTTGGGTCTTCTTCCAGAGAAGCTAAAGCACCGGCTACGTGAAGGTTTAGAAGGAGTTAATAATAAGATCTCCCCAAGCAGAAATCGTAAGTCGCCTTCAAGTTCGCAGCTGGAGTCGTACCTCATGAGGTTTGATCAATCTATCTCAGAGAATACAAGCTGCGGTTACCTTTTAGAAGAACTGAAGAAAGAGGAACCCAAGGCAGTCACGAAGTCAGAGAGGGTCTCTGGCAACGCTGCCCAAAGCGATGTAGAATGTCGTGGAGGAGCGGCCTGTAAGCAAGGTGATTTGTTAAGTGGTGAACAACCCCTGGACGTTGCAAACAACCGACGCAGGAATAGAAAGAAAACACGGGGCGTCCAGATCATTGGCAAGAACAGGATTTGGCCCTGCTCGAGGCCAACGGGTCACGGAATCCCTCAGTCCAATGGCGAAGGTCATCGGGTTCTACCAACGCCTCAAACGTCAACCAACTCCGCTGAATTTGGTTATGAGCTTGACCGGCACGAAGTGTTTCGCAGTGGGAGAGATAGGCGAAGACACGAGAATCATG